ACCTGGACAGAGTTGATTAGTGATGAGACAGATGGATGAACCAAATTCAACCAACCGAATACTTCCTTTTGAAAATGTAAAATCTGAATGGAAAATCCAGAACCTGAAGGTCGGGGGAGATGAATCACCTCAATGGCAATGCCATGAGATCCCTAGAGCTACTTTGTTTCCCCTTCTGAGACATAACCTAGTGAGATATTCACTTGATCAAAACCTTTCCAGGTAATCATTCAGTAAACCTACTTTCTCGACTCTGTTAGCTACAGTCCATTCTGTAGCTTGCAGCCAAAAGAAACTTCACTAGTATTAGTATCCTCATATTACAGACAAGGAAAATGAGACTTAGAAAAATTAAGTACTGGTTTTTCATCATTTAGATAGTAAGTGGCAGAACCAAAAGTGGAACCAAGGTCTGTGTGACCCTAAAACTCATTCAATTAGCCACTAGGCAATCCTGCTGTAAGTACTGTGCTATAGGTTATTTTTCTTATTATAGGGATGGACTTGTGCTGAACCTTTACTTTCTTGCTAAATAAATGTCAGCATATGTTTTGAAAAAGCAATCCAGGGAAGAGAACAGAATAAATCTGCAGCGGTCTCAAACTGAAGTTCAATGGTCCACAAATAAACCAAGTCTTTAGCCTTGCTTTATTGGCACTTGACTCTCACCAATTGAATTAAACAGTTTGGCTACACTGGCAAGAGAAAGATGCCTATGTTGTCCCAGGTCAACTGATCATATCTTCTCAAGAAGGAAGAATTCTAGACCAGATTAAAGCTAAGTTAGAATGCTCCCTCTGTACAGTAAGACTTCACAGGAAAACAGCTGGTCTTCCAGTAGAATAAAGCATTTCAAGCAAACTGATTGGCAGTTAGTAGCTAAAACAGGCTTTTGCTTTTTAGGTCATGGGGATGTCTCCCACATTACTATGAATAGCAAACCAAAATAACTAGAGTTTAACAGTTGGAATGGGTAGAGAATCTACATCTTCTTAGAATAGCATCAAATCATGCTGAAAAAAATATCAAGCAAATTGTCAGATGTCGAGGTTTAGAGTTGCTCATCTTCACAGGTAGTAAAAGCACTTCTGAGAGGGTAGAAACAAGTCATCCATTTTTACTATAAGAAAGATACCCATGAAAATTAATCCTAGCCTCTTGTACTCGTATGTTTCCTAGTTCCCTTCCTTATTCCTTTGTCCTTGGCTGACAACTCCAAACAACGGGAGTTGTCCCTTTGACTGATCTGCTTACTCACTTTGCTAGGGGTCCTTTGATTATTTTGATCTAGTGACCTGGGCCTTCCACAACTATCCTTTTGCTCTGAATACAGTCTCCCATCTCTGCTTTCTCCATTTCATATAAGCACTTGCCTTTTTCTAACACTACCATTCCTGCTGTGGGGCTAAAAATATCAAGGGACCCACTCCACTATGAAGCCCAAGGATAGGGCACAATTTGACCTAGATGAGGCACACAGCCTTAGGAACTGTCATAGGCTTATCACATTTAGAACAAATGATCAATCCCAGACTTTGGTTTAATGCTTCTAGGGGAAAAAAGAAAATTAGAGATAGAGCTTTCACTTTATCTGAATCCCAATTCCATCAGCTATGAAGGGTATAACCTGAAGGACTGAGGAGATTAAAAGAGATCAGAAGAAGGTAAACTGAAGAGCTAGGTTGATGTTGTTATAGTGGGTGGGGCAGCACTCCTTAATCCAAAAGGGATAAAGCTCCTGTATAAAGAGTGATGCCAAACACTCTTCTTTCACCAGTATTCAGAAGTATCTATACTGAATACTAAGTATCAGAAGTAGAGTGACCATAGTTTTGTTAGAAATAGGAGCCAAAAATATCCAAGAAACCTGGGGCCTCCTTATCCCAACCATCACTCCCCTAGGTAGAAGTGACTACCCCCACCTTCTTGCTCCACTGTTCCTCTAGAGACATCTAGCATAACATCTAACACAACTTTAGCACATTTCCCTTTATTTCCCTGGAGGACTATAAACTGAACAAAAACAGGCTGTGTTGTACTTTTGCATTCCCAGCACCTAACACAGTGACTGGTACATATTAAGACTTCAATAAATGTGTGCTGCATGTATGAAAAATGAATAAAAGATGATCAAAAGTGTCTACACTGAGGAGTCAGTTTCAATAAGGAAAGACACTGTCATTGGGAAGCTCTGTTTTCTTCCCTAGCAAAGTGGAATCCAATCATTTTTACACTCCAGAGATTCATTCTGAACATGGTGTCAGGAATAACACAGGGGCAAAAAACAGTTAGCAGGGGAACAAAACAATCAGCTGAACCATCTGGGATTTGAGAGATGGGTAGATCAAACGTCTTAAATTTGCTAGGCTCCTTCTCATTTGGTCCAGAATGGATAACTTTTCGCTGCGTTGTACCAGGAATACTTGTCCCTCATACATCCCCAATCAGCTGCCTTTTAATGACTAGTGAGAAGTGACAATGCAAAAGCTGCGGTGACTTACACTGTACTTGGCAAATCTTGGACCAACTCCCACTGATTTGTCCTTGGAATAGGTGAGTTCAGAGACACCTTGCACAGCTGGCTACAGGCACTGCTGCTGGTCTCCAGCGACCACAGGCTCTTGACTTGGAAAGAGATCCAAGAAGAAGTGAGATGTCCGGAGTAACCTTCGGTTCTTACATGGCCTTTGTAGACAGCAGAAGATGAGCAATACCTTGGCTTACACCAAAACCGCCTCATGCATCTCAGAGGCCGAATGCCTTTCTTTCTTCCCAACCAGCACCAGGGTAGCCTACCCTACAGAGAGATTTGGAAAGAATCCAGGGACTTGACAGACTGACTAGCTCCATGTGGCCTCCTTCTGGTCTAGCTGGCTGCCTCCCCATCTTAGCCCATGTTCTGGTTGTCGCTTCTTTGAAATTCAGTGCATCTGAATTTAAATTCCATAAGCTTCAAGAAAACTCTCTCTCTCTCCTTTGGCCAATGTCCTGTTGTCCTGTTCTTGATCTGACTATAAAGAAGATTCCCAGTCCTTTTGGAATACACCTTAACTTGTAACACAGCTGACATCATCAAAACCGCTCCTTGAGAACATCTCCTGGTTGGTCATCTAGTTCCTGCTCCAGGCCTGGCCCAGAACCCCTTCCCATTCCCCTTTTGATGCTTGGACAATTCTGGCCACAGGTGGCCTCCAGGAATAAGATCCTGCATGGCTGTCTTCAAGAAACTCTTCCTTTCTCTGAATCTCCATGTCCTCCTAGTCTGGTTCACCAACAGAGCCCATGCTTCTGTCTTGTGTCATCTTCTTTCCGCTTCCTTTGTAGATGCTTCAACTCCTCAACTGAATGAATAATAAGCTTCTTGAGGGCAGGAACTGTGTCTATTACAGATGTAGTATCCTCAAAGCCTATGGTAGAGCTGCACACGCAGCAAAAGCTTACTAACAATGTAAATCATCCTATCATATAAAATAGAAGCTGATAACCCATGGACAGCCAGTTTGGTTCCATCTGCTTGGCATATAAAAAACAAACCAAGCCTCAATCTGCATATAGCTCTTAGACTGAAGTCTCCTTCTCTTGATTTTGTCACTTTGCTCACCTTTATCTTTGCCATTTTCCCAAACTGTAAATTCAGTATAAATGTAAGATGCTAAAGTGGTGAATGGAAAGGGGCTTCGTCCAGCATTCTGGCCTGTTCTAAAGGTCCAGTCCCCACTGTTTGGTCCCCACCTCTTCAGCTACCTCTCACACCCTTCCCTCCACCTTACTTCACACTCCAGTCCATTCTAGACATTGTTCAGTTCCTCAGCTGTGCTGTGGACTTTCACCTCTATCCTTTCACACATCCTGTTCTCCCTGTCTAGAACATACTCCTTCCTCTCACCTCTTTTCAAGTAACTCCTACTCACATTTCATGCCTCAACATGTATGTTTCTTCCTTCTGGAAGCTTTCTCTGAACCCCTACTGTATGTCGAGCAACCTTGCAAGGGCCTCCCAAACTTCTCTGAACCTTCACTTTAATGATGTTGGTGACAATAATCATGACAATAATATTCACTAACATTTGGTAATCAATCCAGTCGCCACTGAGTCGATTCTGACTCATCGCAAGCTCATGTGTGTCAGGGTAGAACGGGGCTCCATAGTACTGTCAATGGCTGAATATTTCATAAGTATTTCCAAGTCTTCTGAGGAGCCTCTGGGTGGACTCAAACTTCCAATCTTTCTGTAAGCAGCTAAGCACATGAACCGTTTGTACCACCCAGGGATTCCAACATTTAATAAATACTCACCATATACCAGGAACCTATTAACTCATTTAATCCTTATCACACTTTTGTGAGGTAGGTACCTGAGTATCTCCATTTAACATATGAAGAAATCAAGTCTCAAAGGTATTAATTTGATTACATTCACATTACTCCATGAAGGCCAAATTTCTCACCAGTCTGGCCCTAGAGTCGACGCTCTTAAACAGTACATCACACTACCTCTTATAAAACTCCGCATGTTTGATTTATTTACTTAATGACCAAATATTCCACTAGGCAGAAGCTCCATAGGACAGGGCTGGGTCTGTCTTACTCAGTATTATCTTTCTAAAGCCAGTAGCTGGCACATAGAAAGCACTAAAAAGCATATGTTATATGAATAAATGAGTCATCCAACTGGTTATCCCACCCAGAATCCTGAAAAAGAATTATCCACCCTCCCTAAATAGACAGTGTCTGATACTTATTCAAAAAGAGTATCATGATCATGGTAATATTTATTCTAAATATTCAGTTTCCTTCCTGCAATCCAACCCTAGCCAACTGAATCTAATAATTCAGAACCAGAAAGGGTATGAGCCGTACAGCTACGAGCCCAAGAAAACTCTTCTCTTAAAGAAATGCAGCCTGTGGAGGTTCAAAGGTTTAGCCTGTCCAGGAACACAACCGCCGGAAGTCACTCCCACTGAGTCCGCCAGCATGCCACCCACAAGGGCAGGACTCACCCCTTTCGCAGGTTCGTCCCCAGTAGCCAGTGCCCGTGCAGTCACAGATGAAGCGGTTCCAGCCGTCCTTGCACACAGCGTTATTCTTGCAGGGGTAGCTGTCACACTGCTTGGCGCTCATCCGGGAACAGGAGGACTTGACGCCCGCAGCGTTCTGCATCTCCGCCAGCTGCCGGATGTTCTTGCTACGCCCATCGATGAATAGATCGCGGATGCAGCCCACGTAGCCATAGTTGAGCATGGCGGTCCAGAGCTCGGTGGGGAGGATAAGGCCAGCGCGGTTCTCTGGTAGCCCGCCCAGGTACATGTCTCCTTCTAGGTCCAGGATCTCGCTCTCCCCACTGGCGGTGAATGGCGTGCGCCTGCTGTTCACTGATATGGTACCTGGGGTGAGAAGACGGAAACAGAATGAGTTATCAACACTGTTAGCATTGCAGGTGATGCTGCTAGTCAAGGAACCAAGCAAAAGGGGCCTAGCAAGTGAGCTCTGAGACCAGTTGTGCCTGGCCAGGAAAGGACAGTGCAAGCAATGAAACAAAAAGCTGCAAGATGGTAAGAAGGACCATGTGAGCCATTTGGTTCCACACTCTGCCAGCTAGGGGCTCCCTGGCCCAGAGGAGGATCCAAGGAAATCCTACTGGCCCAACAGCTAGTCTGTCTTTTCTCTGCCTAAAAATCCTGGCTCTGAGAAGTGTGCCATACAGGTTGACAGCACAGTACCTCCCTGCATTTAAATCCCAGCTCTATCTGATCTCCACCACCTGTCTGTCAGTGGGTCATAGTGTGCTGGCTTGTGTGTTGCTATGATGCTGGAGCTATGCCACCAGTATTTCAAATACCAGCAGGATCACCCATGGTGGACAGGTTTCAGTGGTGCTTCCAGACTAAGACAGACTAGGAAGAAAAGCCTGGCTTTTTTTTTTTAGAATGTCAGATGAAATCAAGAAATTTTAAAGGAAAACCACCTTGATCTTTTTTTTTTTTTTTTTTTTTTTTTTTTTTTTTGGCCTCCAAAAATTAGCAATGAAAACCCTATGGTTCACAATCGAATGTCACCTGACTCACTTGCTTTGGACACGTCATCAGGAGGGATCAATCACTGGAGGAGGTCATCATCAAGTTAGGTGAAGTAAAGGGCCAGTGAGGGCATGGGAGACCCTCGGTCTGATGGATTGGCACAGTAGCCGCAACAATAGACTTGTACAAGCTGACAACCACAAAGATGACAGAGGACTGGGCAATGTTTTGTTCTTTTCTACATAAGGTCGCCATGAATAGAAGTCAACTCAATGGTGTGCATCTGTTTATCCATCTATCTACCTATCTATCTCTCATGATCTAGCTGTGTAACCTTAAGAAAGTTACTTAAATTGTCACACCTCGATTTCCTCATCTATAAAATGGGGATAATAATTGTACCCACCTCACAAACTGGTATGATAATTAAATGAGCATATATATATATATATATATATATATATATATATATATATTTCCCCCTAACACTGCCAGGGACAGAGTAAGAGCTCTGTAAGTCTTCTTCACTGGTCACCATCCCCTAAAGGATGTGTCTTGCTCTTCTGTCCCTCCCATGCACTGATACCCTCTGGACTGGGCATTAACTGCCAGCTCCACCAGTGAATATCAATGAGCATTGCCATTGATAAACTGGAACTGGAATATGCTTATTTCTTTATTAGTTACCAAATATGTATTGAACGGCTGTTATGTCTCTGATGTCATTCTAGGCACTGAAGATACAGAGGTGAACTTGACAGGCATATGCATGCTCCTATAGAGCTGACATTCCAGAGTGGAGGGACAGAAAATAGGCAAGCCAGTAAATAAGAGGAATTAGCTAATGGCAGGTGCTGTGAAGAGAGTAAAATGGGTGCTGTGGTAGCAACTCATGGGTTCTACTCAAAATGCAGTGTCAGCAAAGACCTCTGTTAGTGGGTAACAGTTAAGTTGAACCAGAATGTTGAGAAGCATCCAGGCATGCAAAGATCAGGGGAAAGGACATGCCAGGCAGAGGGACTGTCACCTACAAAGGCCCTGAGGTAGGAAGGCGGAGGCAAGAGGGAAAGGAGAGTGTATGCGATGAGCTCAGAGAGAAAGGCAGGGCCAAGGCAGGAGTTAGATCATGGCACCATCAAGTGAGATTATAGAAGATGGAAGCCCAGAGCCTGACCTGAGAACTTGGGAACAGGGTTTCTAGTCCTGAATGGGTTTCTGACCCCAGGCCAGTTCCTGAAATACTTTATGGCTCAGTAGCTTGAACTGCAAAATCAAGGAATTGGACTAGGTGATAGCTAAACATCATGCCAGAAATTTAAAAAATAAGTATTTCTTATTCTCAAGGTGCTTTATTGGTACCAAGATAACTGGGTTCTGCCATCCATCAGTCAGCTTTCACTCTATCTGAATCCCAATTCCATCAGCTATGAAGGGTATAACCTGAAGGACTGAGGAGATTAAACGAGATCAGGAATGTGAAGCACCATCTAAATTATGACGCCAACACCAGAGTAGAAAAGGCATCGAGAGGCCTATGGGAGGGTTAAACTAAAAAGCATGCCTTCCCTGCCTCTCTCCTAGTTTTCTCCTAAAGAAATCTGCTTTACCTTCATCTTCTTCTTTTTTAATCTTCCAAGAAACTACATAACTTCATCAACAGATGAATGGATACACAAAAATTTTTAGATACATACAATGGAATATTATTCACCTATAAAGAGAAATGAAGTCCTGATACATGCCACACATGGATAAACTTTGAAAATATTATGCTGAGTGAAATAAGTCAGACACAAAAAGACAACTATCGTATGATCCCACTTACATGAAGTGTCTAGAACAGGCAAGTGCATAGGGGCCAAATTTATTAGTGGTTATCAGAGGCTGGGGAGAAGAAGGAATGGGAAGATATTGTTTAAGGGGTACTGAATTTCTGTTTGAGGTGATGAAAAATTTAGAAACGTATAGTGATAATGGTTGCACAACATGGTGAACATAATAGCACCAAATTATGCTAGTAAAAATGGTTGAAATGGCAAGCGTTTTGTTACATACGTTTTACCACACACAGACACACACACACACACACTAATAACAATAATAATGCCCTGAACACCATTTTAAGTACTGTACACGTTCTTTTGGACTTTATCCTCACAACAATCTCATGAAATAGGAGTTAATATTTTCGCTATTTTACAAACAAGTAATTCGAGATTTATGTCTCTTACTATCTTCTCTCTTGCACATTTCTTCCTTTACCCTCTGTCATGTCCACAGAACTATCTGATCACCAACTAAAGGGGAGGAGCACCTACTACCAAGTAAGGACAGTACTAGAACAGATTTAAATCGGGGAGCCTTAAATACATCCTGAGAAAAATCTGTCCTCTGACTATGAGACTATAGTTATTTCTGAATGCACATCGCAAGTTTTAAGAAGCAGTTCCCCAACTGGGGCATGATCAGAAAAGCTTTTCTAGAACATCTCTCAGTCATGCGCAGTGAAGGAGGTACCACACTTCGATACACTTGCATTTCTATAACTATCTATTTTAGTATAGATTTATAACTAAAAATAATATACCACGTGAGGAAATGAAATTTAATAGATAATATTAAAAATTCAAGTTACACTGTTTTTGTGGGATAATTATTTGTTCACTCAGTACATTTTTACAGGCTTTGATCAAACTCATCAGCACTTCAAAGTATCGTTCAGTACTCTGGTTCCCAGGTAAGAAACTCAAGGCTCCTGGAATCCAAACACATTTATTTAGTGACTACAGATCCACTGATGGTTCTCAGAACACCAAATAACAACTCTACTTGAAAAAGCAGTTAGTGCTGGTGTGGGGAGGGAGGACCAGCAACAGAAATTTGGCAATTGTGTGTATTCTAGCCTGACTGTCATACATATAGGCAACATTTAAGCTGGGCCAAGGTCTAGATTAGTAAAACACGAAACCCTCAACTATAATCCAACCCCAGAAATCCAAAGCACACGGTATTATGGCAAATGACAGGAGGGTTTCCTTTAGAAATTCTGGGACAGCTTTCTGGCTCTGCCACTGCCGACATTGTACGGATAAACTCGAGGGAGAGAATAGGCAGGAAGAGAAGGAGGGCAAAAGAGAGAGAGAAACAGAGAAAGAGATTGATTTAGCCTCCAGAGAAATTAATTTTTTGTGTGTTTTTCTGTTAAAAAAAGCACAAATTGTTCATTCTTGCTTAACAAGCATATTTAATTTGAAGCCTCTGGGTTCCGATCAGATTTCAGGCAATCAATAAAGCTTCTTGCTGGGCAATAAACCACCCAGGGCTGCAATCTGTCACCCGTCTGCCCTCTGCCCAGGGCCATCCAGCTCCTCCTAAGGGCAATGATACTCACCACCACCAGCCCTCTAGCTCTGGAATCATGCAGAAAAGCCAAAACTAGCAAAGCACAGCCATTCCTGGCTGCAGCTTTTGGGGGGACCTATTGCTTTCTCTTATCAACCAAAACGCACCTAGAAATAAAATGTGCAAGTGGAAGGCTTTTGTGCATTCACCAGGAGAGGGCATCTTTACAAATATGGCAAATAATAGCAAATAGCTTTCTTGAATATGTACTACCTAAATGGAGAATCAGGAAATAAGTCTGAAATTCAAATGCTACAATTATGGCTTTTAGAGAAATGACCTTTCTGATGGTACAGAACGTGACCTTCATTGCCACAACAGCCAGAGAAAGCCAGGCAGACTGTTCAGCCATTCAAAAGTCTCGGATTCTCTGTTGGGGGGTGTGTGTGTGTGTGTTTTCCCCTCGCCTCTCTCTTTGTTACTGTTCCAGAGTGGCTGTGTACTGCCTGGGGCTAGCTTGTATGATCTGAGGCTACAGAAACAAACAAAGCCATTTAAACCCAATGTAAAAGGTTATGAAAAGGAAGGGAGAGTTAGTGAGGTCTGAGCACAGAGTGAAATACAGGCTTTCACACCAAAGGAAGGCTTAAAATTGAACATGACTTCAGGAAAAATCAATTTGCCTTTCTCTTTCTTGTCATAATTTCTCCCTGCAACATGACTCTTGCCAATTATTGAAGGGGGTATTGTTGCATAAACTCTTGCACAGTGAAGCTTATCCTACAGAGTAATCACACAATGCAGCCTCTGTGATGTCACAGTTGGTTTCTATAGCAATGAGAAAAAGGGGAAGAAGGAGAAAAGGGGGGGGGGAAAGCCATCACATGAGTGACATGACAGTCGCTTTGGTAGCAGTGGAAAGGCTACTTGCACAATCATCCTTAGCACCAGGGTCTTGGAGCTATCACTGAGAGAGGTGTGCAGTGAGTGACTGGGGCGATGAGGAGGAGAATATGAGTGTCATTGAGCTAGGTATCTTGTTCCGAAACAAAATCTTACAACGACAGCAAAAGAATCAACAAGCATGCAAGTGCAAACTTTAAAAAATAAAATTTATAAACCCATGAAACAGAAACAGAAAAGCTACAGCCTTCCTCATCTCAGTGCTCTGTGCCCCTTCCTACCTGATCTGCCATCTCGCTGGATGTCCACGTGGTACCATTCCCCATCATTGGCTTTCTTCTGAGTGGCTTTCACTTTGATGGTGCCCGAGCCCATGTCGAGCAGCAAATACAAGTTGCCGTCAAGGAGTTCCACGGCGAAGAAGTCGACTTTTGTGTTCTTCTGGCTCCGAGGATCCTTCCTCTCTTGAGGCTTGCCATGAGTGAAGAGGATCAGGCCATTCGGCTCAGTGGTGCGGAAGTCGAAGGAGATGGAGCCCATGCGCTTGGTGTTCCACTTGGGCAAACTGATGTAAGCCTCTGGGGTCTCAAAGTTGATGGGGTCCAGTGTGGCCACATTCTCACATTTGAATACAACCTCACCGTAGATTTTCATCTTGGTGTCCCCAATCCGAGCCAGGCGAGACAGCTCCAGACGAATGTCATTATTCTTATAAACAACCTGTCAAAAGCCAAACAGAAGTACCATATGAATCAATCTTGCAAACAGTAACCATCCATTGTTTACTGAGTACCCAGGAAAAAGGTCCAAGAATTGGCTTCAGTATACAACAGTCTGAAACAATATGAGAAATGCAGCACTTAAAAAACATCTGCGGAGATTTCTGGGGAGCACGTAGCCCTGAATAAGTCCTTCCATTTCTGTTATATTCCTTTTGTCTCCTTCTGGCCAATTCCTTGTGTTGTCAGAAAGTTACACAATATGAACTTACAAGTCAAATTCAATACAGATTAAGTTGCACAAAATGCCAATACTTAGGTACAAAGATACCTACTGAAGGGTCTTTAGTAAAAGACTAGATTAACCAAAATGACAATAATAGCCTGGCATGTCCTTATGATGGAATATTATGCAGTCATTAGGATGAAGTGGTGCTCTGGGTTTTGATATGACTGTGGCCCAAGTGGCATGCAATTGGTTGCTAACCCACCAGCAGCTTCACAGAAGAAAAGGCCTGGCAAACTGCTTTCATAAAGACTCCAGCCAAGAAAACCATATGGAGCAGTTCTACTCTAACACATGGGGTCGCCATGAGTCAGGAGCCAACTCAATGGCAGCCAGCAACAACAACAACACTCTCCAAGTCATATTAAGTGAAACTAGCAAGGAACAACACAGAGTGTGCATTATGCCATCATTGTGTAAAAAGGGGGGGGGTGATATGTATATAAGCTCGTATATACATAAAACCATAAAATTGCCTCTGGGGAGTGGATTGTGTATTTAATATTCAGAAGTGGGAGGGAGACTTCCTTTTCATAGCACCCTCTTGCATTATTTGATTTTTTTTAACAATATGATTATATTGTTTTAAAAAATGACTGTATGTTAAGAATTAGTGGAGAAGGGGACTTTTTTTGGTATATTTCATGTGCTTTCTATATGCATAGAGTGGAAAAATGAGACACCCTAAAACATTAAAAAAAAATGTTATGACTTTCTAAATCTAGTATAATCCGTATAAAAAGAGACATTAATTCTGTTCCCCAAAATTAGAATTTCAAAAAGGTTTTGCTGTTATTAGAACTGAATTTTCATGTAGCGCCCTGAGATGGATCTCAATCCTCTGATCTGTGGGTAATGTCACATCCATACAAAAAGAGTGTAGAAAACAAATAGAAGGGAAGGGGCTAACATTTGAGTTTTGGCTCTGCCGACCACTTTGCGATGTCCTTTACTTTATTGTACCCAAATTTTGTCAAAGTTAGGACTCAGATTTAGGTTTGAATCCCACATCCACCACTTACAAGCTGTGTGACCATGACACAGTTATATAACTTCTCTGAGCCTATTTCCTCTTCTGAAAATGAGAATAATAGGAGTAACTTATTTTGTAAGGATTAAACAAGTTAATATACATAAAGTACTTAGAGACAGCACGTAGCAAGGGCAAAAACAGTCTCGGCTATCTTGAGGGTTGTTGTTGTTAATTACCTTTCATTTTTTCCACAGCCCTGAGAACGTTGTATTACCATCTCCATTTTCAGTAATACAACAAGACTTAAGGGCTGAAATAAGTCTTTCAATCCATATCAGTGACAGAAAGTTAGTTGGATGGAACATTCCAGTCCATATCATTTAATCCCGAACATCCAACTGTAGAAGTATCTTCCCTCTTTTCACCACCATCAGGAGAGAATCAAGCAGAGCTGGTTGCCTTTTAATAGTAATTACAAGAGTGGTATATAACTAATGATCAAGCATTGGAAATGTTCTACCTAATATGTAACCTTGACCATGGGCCTGACCATAGTCAATGACACTAAAAATACTAACGATATTAACATTTATTAAGCACTTACTATATGCCGGAGCCCTAGTGGTGCAATGGTTAAGAGCTACAGCTGCTCACCAAAAGGTCTGCAATTGGAATCCACCAACCGCTCCTTGGAAATCCTATGGAATAGTTATACTCTTTCCTATAGGGTCACTGTGAGTGGGAATCAACTTGAGTGCAATGAGATCTTTATTTTTTTTTTTTTTTTTTCCCTTCCATAAATGATTACTGATTTTACCAAGTGTTATTTTTTTATCTGTTGGGATGAGATCTTTATTTTTTTTTTTTTTTTTTTTTCCAGTTTTTACTATGTGCCAGGCACTGTGCTAAAGACTTAATGCCCGTCATCCCATCAGATTCTGACAACACCCGTTTGAAATAACTACCATCATTCCTCCACTTTACTGATACAGAAACGGACACAGAGACACATTAAGGCACCAGCCCACAGGCACACAGCTGGCAGGTGGCAGAGCAGGACTTGAACCCAGGCAGTTTGACTCTAGAGCCCATGTGCTTTACCACTGTAGATGCTTTTAACCATGTTCCATTAGCTCACCTCTAACACTATGTGAAAAGTCATGCATGTTCACCTTCCTAGGTTCTACCAGTTCAAAAGCTGAATTTCTCATCTTAGCTCTACTGGACTGACAACATGCGAAAGGGAAATACAGCAGGATCCTTAGGCAATCACTCAAGTGAGTGAACCAGAAAGAAACAATAAACGGTTAATGACTGGCAACTCCTCTATTCCCAACTCCATTATTATGCCTCAGCAAGTGAGATCTCTGTGTCATAACCAAACTTTGGCTTCCCCTGCATTTGGGTTAAGTGCCTATACTTGAACTCCTTGTAAAGGTTAATTATTAATGTATAAAAATAGCTCATCCCAAAGAGATAGACAGACTCTGAGCTCCATTGAACAGTACATGAAAAGAGCTCAGGCATCCCTACAGGAGGCCAGAGGCAAAAGGAAAAAAAGAAAAGAAAAAAGGCCTTTCAAAGGGATGCAGGTGCCTGTGAAAAGGAACGCTTTCGTGAGAGGCTACTTAGCCAAGACTGGGTGGAAGGTGAATAACTCAAACAGATTTCTAAGATGGGCAGGACAAGCAGAGCCAGGAAGAAGCCAAATAGAGGTAACCAGGCTTTTCTCAAAGGCTGGTCAAAGGTGAGCTCTTGTCTACTCCATAGCCCTGAAACTACTTACCTATTCACATGGAGTTCCCACTATGGTGAAAAAAGCTGACACCTTTCTCACTGACAGTTGGGCAACCTCGCTGAGTCCCATTTTATTCATTTGTATGAGTGGGAGTCTTAATCCGTGTTTAGTCTTAATACCTGTTTTATAAACCGCCCCCCTTAATCCTCCAGGGCTGTTGCCAAAATCAAATGGGATTTTATATATGATAGGACATAGTTCTAAATGGGTACACAAACCCAGGAAGAAATAATAATGTAGCATTATTGGGGTGTTGTCTGAAACTGACAGGGGCTTGAACTGAGGATCTTTTACCAAGAAGAAAGGGACAGAGGACAAATGTCTTGGGTGATACTCCAAGGAGAAGCTGCGTTGCTGGTATTCTTTCCTTCTCCCTGCCCCACCAAGGGTTCAGATATACTCCCCTATTCCACTCATCCTATGTGATGGGGGCAGGGGAGGGGACCACAGCATGGCCAGGTAGAACTGTACAGGCCTTGGGTAGGGCATGGAGGTAGGAACACTGATGGACTACCTTACAGGGGAAATTAGTTTCTGGCACAGTGTTTTCCATACAATCAGACTCTCAACCAAACAAATGTCCCTGACTGGCTGACTGAACTAGGAAGAGATGTGGCATCGAGTGACAGAAAGCAGCCTTAGCTGGCAGGTCACCCCAACAAGGAGCAATTAAAGACAAAGTAGAAAATGCTCCCTGTGGACAGAGATGTCACACAGGCTGAGAGCAGAGAAGCAGAGTCACAAAGACTGACAAGCTGGCCTTGCTACCTTACCCATGGCCTTGGGAAGACTGCTGTTTGAACTTGCATTTCATACTAGGAGTCCAGATAGTAAAAGTGTTAAGGCAGCGTCTCTGAGGGACTCAGAGTAAACACATGTGCATCCATCCATAAACCACGATACAAGCAGAGACACGTAGGTGCAATACCAGGAGTAAGGCAAGCTATGGGAGCCGGAAAAATATAATAAAAATAGTTACCACTATTGAGAGCCTACCATGTACCAGGCACATTAAAAACATTATTTTATATCATCTACAATAAGCAAGTGAAATAGGTGGTGTTAGTCCTGTTTTACAGAAATGAGGCTCCGAGGGGATAAGTACTTACCCAAGACCACAGAGCCAGCTAAGGGCATCATTATACCTTGAACCCAGAACTCTCTGACTGCACTGAGGAAAGTAGTTATGCTCTAGGGATGGCAGTTCCAGGCTCTCCCATAGCACATGTCCACCCATAAAACAGAAACCCTTTACTCCAGAACAAAAACTACACAAAGCTCTATCCTGGTGTGCAAAGCCCTCCACAGCTGGTGCTGACTTATGGTCCTCTGTAATGGACACCTACTCCTCCCCACCCAGGAGTCTCCTCAACGGCCTCTGCATGGCCCCAGGTGTTAGTATGTCTGCATTTTTGCTCTTCCACATTTTCCGGGTTACAGTGCCTTCCTCTTTACTCCAACCTCTTTTAATGGTACTCCTCTGCCAAGATCTACATCCAAACCCACTCCAGGCCCTCCCTGGCTACTATGATCCTTGCTAATCACCACCAGTTGTGCCCAGTCTCTTCAGACTCATGGTGACCTCATGTGTGTCAGAGTAGAACTGCGCTCCATGGGGTATTCAATGGCTGTGATCTAGCGCAAGTGGATAGTCAGGTCTTTCTTTCACGGCACCGCTGGGTGGATTCGAACCACCAACCTTTGGTTAGTAGCTGAGTGTTTATTCATTTGCACCAGCTAGGGCCTCCTGCTAATCATTACCACTTGATAGAATTCAAATACTTATATTGCCTGCACAGAAGAAAGTTGGCTGACCTGTCACACAAACCACTCACACTACCTGGGGAAAGAGAGACAATCCTAACCCTGCAGCCCCACATAATGCACCTTTTACGTTTGACTCTTCCATGGTACTTGAGTTACATGGCAGGTCCACGAGAATGA